AGAAGGCCGTAAGGAAAACAGAGCCATATGCCTTTACTTCAACATAAACACATTTAAATAAGAACTTTTACAAACCGTACCATAATATGGCCCAATCTTATTACATACTATATGCACAAAATAAATGTATGTGTTGGGCACTACTTTAACAACAGTGATTTGTCATACAGATTAAAGCAATCTCCTTTCTGCTCCCCTACTACATGGATTACTACTTAGGCTATGAAAACATTCATTTAAAATCTACTATTCTCCTGAATGTGTTCCTTAATGCATCCTTCACATCCTGGTTCCTCAGGCTGTAGATCAGAGGGTTTAGCATGGGGATCACCAGGGTATAAAACACTGAGGCCATTTTGTCAGTATCCATTGAGTAGATGGAGGCAGGTCGAAAATACATGAAGAGAATAGTCCCATGGAATATGGCTACAGCTGTCAGGTGGGAGGTACAGGTGGACAAGGCTTTACGTCGGCCCCCAGTGGAACGGACCTTCAGGATGGTAATGAAGATGGACAAGTAAGAGATGAGAATGCTGAGCACAGTGAACATTTCAATGGCCCCAAGGAAAGTGAACAACACAATCTCATTTATGTGTGTGTCAGAGCAAGAGAGTGCTAAGAGGGGAGGAAGATCACAGAAGAAATGGTTGATGACATTGGAGTCACAGAATGCCAGCTGAAAAGTACAGCAGGTATGTATCATTGAATCGACCAAACCCACAAGGTAGGCCCCAGACACCAGCTTGTTACAGAGCTTCCTGGACATTATGACTGGATAAAGCAAGGGGTTACATATGGCCACATAGCGATCATATGCCATCACAGCCAGCAGGACACATTCAACATCTGCAGTAGCACCAAAAAGATATAGCTGCATGACACAAGCATTGTATGAAATTGTTCTGGTCTTGGCTAAGAAGTTCACCAGCATTTTGGGGGCAATAACTGAGGAGTAGAAGAAGTCCACAAAGGACAGGTTTCCCAGAAAAAAGTACATGGGTGTTTGCAGCCGAGGATCAATCCAAACTAAAAGGAGCACCCCTAGATTCCAGACAACAGTGATAAAATAGATCACCAGGAAGAATACAAAAAGGATAACCTGCAGCTCAGGGCGATCTGTTAATCCCAGGAGAATGAACTCTGTCACAGTTGAGCAGTTTCTCTTCTCCATTGCCTCACCCCAGCACACACTCCACTGTGACAAATGACAAAATATCAATTTTGAAGATAAACCTGTGGAATCATGTCAAAGAGGCCATATCCCCATGAGTCTTAATAAGTCAAGGATGTGAAGAATTAAAGAATTAAAGTATTCTATAGCATCTCAATGCCACACTTGGTTGAGGATAATAGGGATGTTGTGAATATTTTTGACTGATGAGAAAAGTTATCTTAAAATGATTCATCCCTAGTACCTTCAGAAGCATCACATAATTTATAACACACAAAACTACACTCTGTGTGGCTGGTGCATACAAAGGGCTGGATACCAGGCCTGTGTGAAGCAGCTAGTATTCGCTTTGGATTCGGATTTGTCTGATTCTGGGGACAGTGATTCAATTCAGTGATTCGAATCACTGTCTCAATTCGAATCAGCCAAATCTCCAAATCAAACAGGCCCCATCCCCCGCCCACTCTCCCAGCCTTATCAATGGCTGCCCTGCACAGCCCCAGCATCCTAAAAAAAAAGCCCCACAGTCACTGGCTCCTGCCAGGATGGGGAAGAGGGGGTGATCCCCACTGCCCCTCACTGCCCTGCGCTGTGTGTGTGAGGGGGGTCTGTCATGATCCCCTGGAGGCCCCAATGGCCACTGCAGCAGCCAGTGAGTGCAGGGTTTTTGTTTTGTTTTTTTAAGCACTGGGACACTGAGGTCAGATGGGGCAGTCATTGATGGGGCTGGGAGAGTGGGCAGGGGTTGGGGGTACTCAGGGGAGCTGAGAGAACAGGCAGGAGATGGGGCCCAGTGGGGGTCCCCCCATGGTCCCCGTCCCCCGCACTTACCAGCATGGAGTCCGGGTCCAGCTCCCTGTGGTGGTGAGTGAGGACTGCCCAGATCTCCAAATCACCTCCAAATCTTTTCCGAATTGATTCAGAGGCTGTGGATTGATTTGGACCTTTCTATTGATCTCCCAATTTGATTCGGATTCTGAGATTTGGCCGCTGAGTCAGGCAGAATCTCCTCCGAATCAAATCAGCAACCGAAGCTTCTCACAGCCCCACTGAATACCACCTGTGATGTGGTAACTGGAGGAATCACTGGGTTAGATTGGGTAACCCTGAGAGATTCTTCTCACTAAGGTTCTTGATATATCTCCATTTGCCAGGGTCTCTGAGTACCTCCACATACAGTGGAAGCAGATTGAGGCTAAGTAATTTCTTCCAAGTCTGCTGTGGTGAAGGAATTCTGACTGAATCCCAGTTTGGGGAGAGAGGGGAGGGAAGCTCTCATCAAACTTTGCTTTCAACCTAAACAGGAAGTTGGAAGCAGTGGAGAAAAAAAAAAAACCCTGCATAACCTGCTTATCTGGTTCTGAAAATTAGACCTGGTGTATTGGCTTCATAGCTCATCCATAAGAGAGAAGAAAGTTATCTGTGATTTCCACTACTGTTCATCAGTGGTTTTCATCGCACAGAATGCACCTAGTCCATGCATACAATGAATCTGATATGTAAGATTGGACTACTTTGGATTCTTCTAATAAAGTCAGCATCTTCACACCAGACTGCCATGTTTTCACTCCACTAGAAGGCACTCTCATTCAACAGTAGCTAGATAGCTGCTGAACTGCAGCAGCAGCTTATTCCCTTCATCGTAATATCATCATTGTTACCTTGTGCTCTCCCTATGTGTTAGCCAAATACACTTACCTCTAGCCTTGAAAGCTGTGGGGCAGGGGGTAACTTTTTGTTATAGGTTTATTGAGTATGCAGCATAGTGAGACTATGATCCCTGATGGGGCTAACCTATATATTCCTTGTAGGTTAGCCAAATCCATTACACACTAATAACCTTTGCCAGTCACAGAGCTTTTCCCATCACATGTCCCTATAGCATTTCCATGTCTGAAGAAAGGGAATACAAACAGAAAATAAATCACCAGTTTAAAGTAAGGCATTCAACCCTACCACACTTTGAGCTGAATTCTATTTCACTGATACACAAATACTACTACACTACATAGTGTCATTTAGGGCACTCCACAACTTTCTATTTTACATCAAATTATGAGCCCGATTGTCCAAAGACAGCTAGGTTCTTTATACAACTACATATGTACCCCTGCGACTATATGTATCATACTGCAGAGCCCATGAGCAATTCAGTACTGTTCCAGAAACTCTAACTCTGTGCAAGTCCTGCTACAATTCATCTTCTCTATATACCGTAACCTACGATAAAGGTCTGTTTGACACTGAACTGAGACTAGCTTGGTGGGTGGCAGTGACCAGCTTATTCAAGTAGCTTTGTGTTTAAGGCTGCTATCCAAGAGAGGGTAGACCCTGAGACAGTGCAAATTAGCTAGCTCTAACACCTGTATGCCTAGCAAAGACACTGAGGTACAGTGGTAGCTGACACAGGCTAAACTGAGACAGAAGTACTACATAGTGTAGCAGGGATGATTGAATGAATCAGTAATATTCTATCTTGTTTGAAGCAAAATATATTTGAGCAGCACCAGATCATATGTTCCAGTGGACTGTATCTTGACATCACCCTACATCCATATAACTATACAGAAGCAAAGATACTCCTGGAGATAAAAAAAAAATCTCCTTCAATCACCAAACTTATCTATGGTAGAGAAAAATTTCCTTCCTGTCTCCAGAAGCTGTAACTGGGAAGAATGATAGAGATTTCATTTGCTGTTTTTTCTCATTGTAAACACTATCCCAAGGCTTGTAAAATCCCTCAGTTTCAGGAACTCACACAAAAAAAAAAATTTGTGTCCTTTACAGTCTTCTTGTGATGTAAAATTGGGTGCTGATCATAAGACCTAACTAAGTGTGCACTTTTATTCCCTTTAGTATTTGAATAAGGGCATAACCTTCCCTGAATTTGCTTCCTTTCTCTCTTTTGAAGCAGAGCTATAGATCCCTTTTTTTTGGATAAACAAAATGTCATGTGATGAAAAGGCCCATTACTTATGCCACTCACATTCCCAAAATTGTTTCTACTCAGACGGTCCAGAAAAGCTTCTACTCACTCATCACAGAGACAGAAACATAGCACCAGTTCTGTGCCAGCAACAGTCACAGGAGACATTTTTAAGAAACAATCACAAAGGATGCAGGAATGTGTCTGTAGCCAATCTGGATTTTCAAGTGTCACTGTCCTCCTCACATCACAGGTTTTTATGTACCAACATGAATGTCATTTATCTTTGCTCATGCTTACTGCTCCAGGGATACCTGTTTTCACATGACAATAATTCACTCTCTGGAGCTTTAATAATCCACTGGGGATTATTAGTGTCAGCCTGTTGTTCATAGCAAAGTGGGTTGGGAAATACTAAAGGACTAACATGTTTTTAATACATATTTTGCCTGCATTAACTCATTTCCCTCTAAGCTGGGAAGGCATGAATGCATTTTGGCATTATTAGAATATAGTACACAACCTGGAGAGTCTCCCACCATGAATCATGTATTATCTTTTCTCCAGCTGGTCTATTTGTATACTAGTAGAAATTTGAAACAACCTCCTGACTCCAGGAAAGATCATAACTCCATGGTACTAAGCACTGCATATGCAAAAAGACAATCACAGCCTGGGCAGCTTCATAGTATAAGGAAACAAGGATTCAGATAATAAATTAAGGCAAAACGGCAAGTGGAGAAATACTGCAGTAGGCCAGCCAGCTAGGGTCAGTACTGAAAGAAGGATGAGGTCTATGACTCCTTTTGCAATGTAGTAGGTCTGTCTCACTTCTCTACAGGTCTGTCTCACCTCCTCATTGACTGTCAAGGAGAGACTCAATGTCCTCTTTTCCTTTATGACTTAGTGCCGTCATGTTTTCCATATTTCTTTCTTCTACATAAATGATACTCATGCTTTTCAAAATTTTGAAAACAGTATTCACGAACATGTCTGATGAATACAATTAAGCTCCTTAGTTTTCCACTGAATTTAAAGCAGGTGCACCTAACAAATCAAAATTAATCTTCCTATTTTATACCCAGGGTGCCTCTTTTACCTACAGTTATCTTGCACAGATTTTGGCTGGAGCTGGCCAGAACATGAAATGTTTATCCTTCCAGAAAATATTGATATTTCCATGCTGGTTGTTGGTAAATCAGGGGAAAGGGTCAGATAGCCAAATAATTTTAATCACCTTCACCTAGGCCTCACCATTCTGAATGTTAGTGTTTATCCTCCAATAGGGTCATCCCACGAAACAGGGTTACATGCCTAGATTCCTCAATCAACAATGGGGAAAGTAGGAACTGGTGAAAGGCAACCCAGGAATCCTACATGCTCTGCAGGGAGGCATCTAGGTATAGCCAATAGGAGTCACTGAGCAGAGAACTGTTTCTCGAGTTTTGACCATATCTGGAGTATAGGAACTTGATTCAGTCATGTGAATGAGGGGCCAGTTTTAAGAAAAAGCAAAGCTGAAACAAGACTGAGCCTAAAAGTAAGCTTAGCATCTGAAATCTCTATGCCTCGAATGTAGGGAATACTACTTGGAACAGGATTTTGCAACAGTCAACATATTTGGGAAAGACCTAGGCCAGCAGAAAAGGGGATGCGTCAGAAATCCTTCCACTGTCCTAGGCTTTGGTGCCAGCTAAACAATTCCTTGAACTCTAATGGGGGCAGAGAAACTAACCATTCACTCTGTAAAGGCCTTGTTACATACTGCACTTTGAGCTGCTCAAGTGTTAGTGCTAGCTCCAGCCTGGAGCAGTCACATCTTAAGACTGAAAACCTTCCCTGACTGTCCTCCACCTGCAGAGATGTGACTTGCCACTAGAGGGCTGGGAAGCAGGGGCCTGCCTAGAAGCTACATCTGTGAGTTGCTTTTACAGGTCTGGTGAATCAGGACAGGACTCTGTCCCTGCTGTAAGTATAAGAGAGGGGTTGGGAATGTGAAGTTCAGAGGAAGAGAATTAATGGGATGGGAGGGTAATGAAATGGGAGGTGCAGAGGAAATGGGTGTGGGGGAAAGGGG